ACACCATTCCAATGTCTTCTTGTTGGGGAGGAGCTGAATCTTGCTAATAAGCTTACTGCAAAAGCAATATCTGGTCGGGTATTGTTGGCAAGATACATCAGTGCCCCAATTGCACTAAGATATGGAGTTTCATCACCAACGAGCTCTTCATCATTTTCTTGAGGCCAAAATGGATCTTTATTTATATCAAGCGATCTCACAACCATTGGGGTACTCAATGGATGTGCATTTTCCATGTAAAATCGCTTTAAAACCTTTTCTGTGTATGTTGATTGATGGACAAAAATTCCATTTGGTATATGCTCAATTTGTAGGCCAAGACAAAATTTTGTCTTACCAAGATCTTTCATTTCAAATTCTTTCTTTAAACACTCTACAACCTTTGGAAGCTCTTTAGAAGTGCCAACGATATTTAAGTCATCAACATACACAGCTATGATGATAAATTCAGATCCAGACTTCTTAATAAAGACACAAGGGCAAATAAGGTCATTTTTGTACCCTTCCTTTAGCAAATACTCGCTAAGGCGATTGTACCACTTCCTCCCTGATTGCTTCAATCCGTATAAGGATTTCTGAAGCTTTATTGAACAAGTTTCTCTTGAACTTTTATGTGCTTCAGGAACTTTAAATCCTTCAAGGATTTTCATAAAAATTTCATTGTCCAGTGAGCCATACAAGTAGGCTGTGACAACATCCATCAACCGCATATCAAGCTTTTCATGGACAGCCAGATTTATTAGATACCTGAAGGTAATTGCATCTACCACAAGAGAATATGTCTCCGTATAATCAATGCCAGGCCTTTGCGAAAACCCTTGTGCCATAGTCGTGCTTTATATCTTACGGCTTCACCTTTCTTGTTCCGTTTCCGCACAAAAATCCATTTGTACCCTATTGGCTTAACACCTTCAGGCGTTCGGACTATTGGTCCAAAAACTTCACGTTTTTCGAGTGAAGCTAATTCCGCTTGAATTGCATTTTTCCATTTTGGCCAATCATTCCTCTATCTACATTGATAGATTTTGGCTCAAGATCCTCATCTTGTTGCATTACTTCAATTGCAACGTTATATGCAAAATTATTGTCAACAACAACATTATTCCGGTTCCACCTTTTTTCCGTAGAGACATAACTTATTGAGATCTCTTCATTTTTATCATTTTCAGGTACTAGAACCTCCTGTGAGGTCTTATCAATTATTATGTCTTTATGTTCCTTTTGAGCAATTTCCTCCATGTTATGATCAACTTGATCATTTGCTCCTTTCCTTTTACGGGGATTTTTATCCTCGGAACCGATTGGTCTACCACATTTAAGGCGTGGCCTAGACTCATTACTGTCCAGCTGGAACATCAACTCGAATTGGAGCATTTACAACTGGAATATGCGATTTAGTAACCCGTGGAAGGTTAGTAAATGCATCTGGCAATTGATTTGCAACATTTTACATATAAATAATCTTTTGAACTTCTTGTTCACATTGATTTGTAAGAGGATCCAAATGAGATAAAGATAATACTTTCCAATCTATCTCTTTTCCAGCTGTTTATTTTCTCCCCCTAATGTTGGAAAAACTAATTCATCAAAATGACAATCAACAAATTTGGCTGTAAACAAATCTCCTGTCATAGGCTCCAGATATTTAATAATAGAAGGAGATTCATAACCAACATATACTCCCAACCTTCTTTGGACCCATCTTTGTATGTTGTGGTGGAGCAATTGGAACATATACCGCACATCTAAAAATTCTTAGATAGGAAATATTTGGCTCCTGACCAAAAACCAACTGTAATGGGGAGACTTTATGATAACTGGTTGGTCTTATGCGCACAAGTGCTGTTGCATGCAAAATAGCATGTCCCCTCACTGAAAAGGGAAGTTTTGTCCTCATTATATGGTCTAGCTATTAATTGGAGGCGTTTAATCAATGATTCTGCTAGACCATTTTGAGTATGAACATGAGCAACCGGATGCTCAACTTTTATTCCAGTGGCAGTACAATAATCAATAAAGGCCTGAGATATAAATTCACCAGCATTATCAAGACGAATTGTCTTAATTGCATAATCTGGAAATTGTTCTCTTAACCTTATTATTTTGGCGAACAATTTCGCAAATGCCATATTACGAGTCGACAATAAACACACATGTGACCATCTTGTAGTTGCGTCTATCAAGACCACAAAATACTTGAATGGTCCAGATAGAGGGTGTATAGGCCTACATATATCACCCTGTATACGTTTCAGAAATGTAGGGGATTCAATCCCAACTTTAGCTGCTGATGGTTTAATAACCAATTTTCCTTGAGAACAAGCAGCACAAGAGAATTCTTTAAATTGAAGAATCTTCTTGTTCTTCAACGTGTGCCATTTGAATTCTCTATTATTCTGCGCATCATGTTAGAACCGGGATGGCCTAACCGGTCATGCCAAATGATAAAATCATTAGAAGTAGTAAACCTTTTGTTTACTATGGCATGTGATTTAACCACACCAATGTTTGTGTGGTACAACCCAGAAGAAAATGCGGGTAATTTTTCGTACACATATTTTTTTCCCGGCTTTTATTGTAATAGTATAAAGGTATTCAACCTTTCCTTCGTTTGATGTCTCAACATGATAACCATTTTGGCGAATAGCTTTGAAACTCAACAAGTTTCTTTGAGACTTACTACAATACAATGCATTATCAATAGTTAATATCGTTCCTTCGGGTAGTAATAAGGCCGCTCTTCTAGAGCCCTCAATCAACTTTGTATTACCAGATATTGTATTAACATAGGCCTTTTTCATAACCAAATAAGAGAAAAATTTCTTTTCTCTTAATATTGCGTGAGTTGTAGCACTATCCAAAAGACATAAATCTTTATTACTCATCTTGGATTCAATTGAAGACTGGGAAATTTTAATTTCTTCATAAAAAAAGTACATCATGAGAAATACGGAAAAACTAACATCACCAATGACAATTAAGACAACTTAAGTACTACTTGAAAATAAAAACAACTTAAGTACTACTGAAAATAAAAACAACTTTAGACGAGACAAAAACACTGAAAATAAGAATAACAACATAATAGCATTCCCCAGTAAAATGATCAAACTTTAATTTTGATCTCCAAAGAAATCTTCAACTTCCAAATGAGTAAGATCATCGAGGCTTTGAAAAGCGTCATCATTCAAAGCAAGATTTGCCTCGGCATTGTCATCATTTTTGTTTGAAGGCCCTGCCTCAAAATCGTTTTTAAAGGTCAAGTGAGACTCCACTGGGCATTAGCAGAAAATGCTCCAACATTATTTGCCTTTCTTTTGATGGAGTTTTAATAAAGCCCGACAAAATGCTCAGGTGCACGTCATTCAATTTTCCAATGACCTTTCATGCCACAACGGTGGCAGTTAACGCTTTTGCCTCTTGAAGGATTGTTTTGAGAACCCATATTGTTCTCTCGTTTGCCGTGACCACCATGATGACGACCATTATATCGTCTCTTACCATTGCCATGCCCACGTACATTCATAGGGCCATGATTATTATTCTGTCTTTTTCTAGACATATCACGTCTAGGTGCTATATTCGCTTCAGGAAGCGGAGTTGACCCTGTGGGACGGGCTTTATGATTTTTCAGCAAAAGGGTATTATGTTGCTCAGCCACCAGAAGGCATGAGATCAATTCAGAATACTTTTTAAAACTCCTTTCACGGTATTGATGCTGTAATACCATATTTGAGGCATGAAAAGTCGTAAGAGTCTTTTCCAACAAATCCTCATCATTCATAACATCCCCACATAATTTCAATTGGGAAGTTATTCGAAATACATCAGAGTTATACTCACTTACGGTCTTAAAATCTTGCAACTCTAGGTGCATCCACTCATATCGAGCCCTTGGCAATACCGTAGCCTTAAGTGATCATACCTTTCCTTCAGGCCAGTCCACAATTCAAGTGGATCTTTCACTGTCAAATATTCAACCTTCAAACCTTCATCCAAATGATGACGAAGGAAAATCATGGCCTTCGCTTTGTCTTGGCTTGATGCCTCATTACCCTGAGTAATGGTGTTACCAAGGCCTTTAGCGGCTAAGTGAATCTCAGCATCGAGAACCCATGATAGGTAATTCTTTCCAGAAATGTCAAGTGCCACAAGCTCAAGCCTTGACAAATTCGACAGAGTGAAAACTATCAAAGATGATAAATAATTAGAAATCATTAAGATAATAGCGTAAAGAATCTTTAAAATTGACATAATATCAAATTTATGATCTATATACACTAAAGTGATAATTCCATAGAAAAGAATACTATTTGTTGCTTTAAATTATTAGTATATCTTTGATGTTAACTAGAACAAAAATATCTTCTAACTTTAACACAATTTCAAATGTCGAACAACATAAAATAAGTATTCTTCTCTCAATCAATTCTATTAACATGAAAATTAGCAACTTTCACATGACAATCATACAAATAACTTAAAATAAAGAAACATAGAATTCTTTATTTTTACACATATCTAGAGATGTGAGAAATTATAAAACTGCATATTAAAGATACTAATCATGAAATCAAAATATACAAAGAAGAAAACAAAATGAACAAATATACCTGAACAACGAAAAGAGCTCAACTTCGTGCTGATAACGTGTTAAAAAATGTAGCCAAAGTAACAATATAAAACAAGAAGATAAGTAGAATAAGAAAAGAAGAAATAACTTTCTTATTTCATCAAGTGTTCATGTGTATCTCATATCACATTTCGTGCCTCTATTTATACTATTACATAGAAGGTTATGGAGTTGTGGAAGCTACAATCATAATAGTGATGGGTAGTGGGAGGTTATTTACATCATGGATGAAAGTAGTGGGAGTAGTGGACATCCAAATTTACTAAAGATTTTATAACAATACATATATTATACAGATTAATTTTAATTTAAACAATTGGGATCTTGGAAAGAAAATTGAAAGGGGGTAAGTTGTAATTTACTGAAAGTGAACTCAGAAGGAAAGGCATACCCTCGTTATACTCTGAATCCAAGTGCTGTAGTTTCCCAGGTATACCATACCTTCCTTCGTTTCCTACGTTTTTGACAAAAGAACACAGCGGAGAAAATCAGTAACTGACAACTCCAATCACAAACCCAGAACCGATCCAATGTCAGAGGATGAGGCAGCCCCAACGGTTCTTGATCTAACGAGTTACCAGCTTCACGATCTCAACTCAGTGGAGCTTCCTCCGAGTCTCACCGAGTTAGACTTAACAACGAACCGTTTGTCCGCTTTAGACCCCCGTATTTCCCAACTCCCTAACCTCAAGAAGCTCTCTCTTCGTCAGAACCTTCTTACCGATGCTGCCGTTGAGCCTCTTTCCTCTTCCCACGTCATTTCTGACATTGAGGTATTCATCTATATCTCATTACTCTAAATATGATTATGTTATTTGATGTTAGAGTCTTTAGTTTAGCAATACGGCCCATGTTCTATTTTTTTTTTGTCAAAATGGAATAAATGATGAAATTCAAATTAAATACCCAATAGTATATCGATTGGTGCTGAATATTAAAAGGAATTAATGAACTTGTATAGAGCTATTTATGTAGCGTCTCTCAACTAATTTGCATTGATGCTAAGCTTAGTGATATTGATTAATTGAATTTGTTGGCGCATTTAGTTGCTGAAGAATTACCTTTAAATCACAAATGGATTTGAATTTGGATAATCTTAATTCTTCAGAAGCCATGATAAGAGAGAAATCAGTCAAAATCACATGAAGGGAAATATTTTCAGAAGGCCTATAGTCTCTCTGATTTAACGAAATTTAGTTAGAATACAATGCCGTGGAAGCAAATGTTCCTTATAAGCAATTGGCTTGTTAAATTTAAGGCATAATAATTGTTATTTCACTTATATTAAGGCTGGTGTTTTCCTGGAGTCCATTTGGTTGTGACTTGAGTGCCTATGTAGGGATAAGAATGGGTTTTGGAGAGCCATTAGTTAGTATAAGAAAAAAATAGATCTGACAGTGGACCTCAACTTATCCGGAATTGGGACGAAGTTGATTGAATTATTGGTTTATGCAGAAATAGATAGAGTTTACAAGCATATTCGCATGAGCTATAGCTGCTTAGAGAAAAAAATGGTGAATTTTTGTCTACCTGTATTGTGTTAATAGTAACCTAGGCTGCATCTTTGATTCGTGAATTCAGTGAGACTGCAACTTGCTATCTAACCTGAAATGTACTTAAAGCTGGTGTATGCTTCTATTGGATCCGCCCGTGCCCGCCCATTTTGTCTCGCCCTAAATGGAATGGCTCTCTTAGTTATGCTGCGCCCCGACCCGAGTCCCCACGTCCGCTTTTCTCCGCCCGCAACCCAATAAGTTGGCAAAAAAATTTATGTACCAAGAAATTGGTGTAGGCATTTGGTTAACCTCTCCCTCCCCTTCATAATCTCCTTCCTCATGTGTAAATAGCTTGAACTCATATTAGCTACTATAGCCTTTCTCCATAAAGTATTTTCTTTTGAGCAAATCTCTGCAACCATTTCCTAATAGCACCATATTAGAAATGGACAGGCTTCAGGGGGTATATTTCGTAGTAATTCTACAATAAGAAAACATTTCAACTTTTAACCTATAAACAATATCAAAATTGATTGGGATTGCTTCTTCTTTTTTCCTTTGTTGAAATCTTGTTGCTTTCATATTATTTGTATGTTTCAAAATTATTCTTTGAGTTCATGATTAATGAGGTTTTCGTTACATAGTAACCGTCTGGTTTATTCATGCAAAGCTTCTCTCTGATTTAGATGTAATACCTTGCTGACTGCTAGGTGTTGTTGGATTTTTCAAATTGAATAAACTTGTAACTATTGTGTGCTAGTTGTTGATTTGTTTTTCATAAAATTGGTGTATCTGTTTTCTCAGCAACCATTGGCTAGAATCTGTTATTGAATAAATTTTCCAAGTTCATTTCGGAATTTGAATAAAGAATAAACTTTTAGTTCTCACTGTTTCTTGATGTTCATAGGAATTATCTTTGCTTTACGGTTTGTGAAAGAGCAGTTTGTATGTTAATTTAGCATTGAAATCCATACCATTACAAATTTCGTGTAGTTCATTTCTTGCTCTTTGACCAATTGTTTAATTCGTGCTGAGGGAAAGTTGATCTAGGGAAACAAAAGGTTTTGGTACCAGGTATTGAGTATATGAAGAAAGATAACACTTCTCATACAGAACTTATTATGGTTAACATTCCTTTCTGACGGGATGGTTTCCTAATCTCAAATTTAATTACAGGGCTTTCATTTACCTTCTGCTTCAGGTTTCCATATCTTTTTGACTTTTCAATTTCTTTCAGTAATGGGGTTGGAGGGGCTTTGCTGGGTGCGTCTTGAACTATTAAAATATTTGAGTCATTCCACTTGGACGGCATGGTTTCATTTGTTAAAATTTAAGACAAGGCTTTCATTTACCTTTCGCTTCATGTTTGTTTTTCTTGCATAGGTACCTTTCGCTTCATGTTTTGATCTCTGACTTTCCAATTTATTTCAGTATTGGGGTTGGAGAGGCTTTGCTGGGAGTGCCTTGAAATTTTAAGTATGCTTGAGTCATGTTCTTTTTCACCTTATCTCACACTCTCTTTCAGAGGATGGAGAGTGTGGGGCAGAGACTTGAATCTCTTATATTTAGGTCGTCTTCTTCTCTTCTCCGGTTTAACTAGTTTTTTTTTTTAGGAAAAGGAAAACAAAAGTTCTTTCCATTTTTGATGTTGTTATAGTGTTGGTTAGTCAGATATGCTTAACAGATTTCACCTCTGCAAGTGGAAGACTAGTGTGTAAAGGGATTGAACATGGCAGTTATTTCGTCCTTATATTTTAGGGGTCGTTTGGTTACTGGGATAAGGATACTCATCCCCGGATAGAATATAGGATTGTATTTATCCCATGTTTGGATATGGGTATTAGCTAATGGTGGGATAAATTTTATACCAAAATGGCAGGATTAGCTATCTCGTATAGAAGGTGGGATAGCTAATCCCATGAGACATCCTTGTCTATCCCATCTGGTAACCAAGCGACCCCTTAGTTTTTAAAGCCTTGAAAGCACCCAAGATTACTTAAGGAAAATGTTTAGTAACTACATCTTATTGCCAGAGTTGACCTTCTCCCTGTTTTGGTTCCTGTATGATTGTCTGGTTATAGACGTGATAGAAACAGACCTGTTGAAATTATCTGAAATCATGCATGTTGAACTCTCTTTGCAGGAGCTAGTGCTTAGGGACAATCAGCTGAAGAAAATTCCCGATGTTGAGATATTCAAGAAGCTTCTGGTATTTGATGTTTCTTTCAATGAGATATCATCACTTAATGGATTGTCCAAGGTCTCCAGTACACTCAGAGAACTATACGTGTCTAAAAATGAAGTCACCAAGATGGAGGAGATTGAGCATTTCCATGAGCTACAAATACTCGAACTTGGGTCCAATAGATTACGGGTTAGTTTCTCTTGAAGATGACATCAAAAGAAATTTAATATTTTTCAACAGCTTACACTTGTAAATGTGTAATCATAAAAGCTTTATCATAAACTTATATCTTACCTTGTCAAAAAAAAAAAAGAATAATCAGAAAAGCTTTACAGCAGAGGCAGAACAATTCCCTCCCACTCCCCACCCCCACACACATAAAAAAGGAAAGATTGTCAAAACTCAGTATATATATATATTTGTAAATATAAGTAGACCACAAAGCTTTCCCTGGCTCATTATATACCCTTGAAGTGCGTTGGTTCTTTGAAACAGGTTATGGAGCTTCTGGAAAATTTGAAAAATCTACAAGAGCTATGGCTTGGTCGCAATCGTATACGAACTGTTAATTTATGCGGTTTGAAATGCATTAAAAAGATTAGCCTGCAGAGCAACCGTTTAACTTCCATGATTGGGTTTCAGGTCCTGATAGCTAACAGTTGTGCTTTGTCATTGTAGACGACTTCCATTTTAAGAGTGATTGATTTTGCTGTTTTCAATTTGAAGGAATGTGTTGCCCTTGAAGAGTTATACTTGAGCCATAATGGTATTGCAAAAATGGAAGGTTTGTCTACCTTGGTAAACCTGCGGGTCTTGGATGTATCAGCAAATAAGCTTACAGAAATTAATGACATTGAGAACTTGACAAAGTATGAAAGCTGTCCTAGCAATTCCTAAGTCTGAGCTACTCTTATAATGCTAGGACTTGTCATCATCTTCATGTTCACTTTATGCAGATTAGAGGACTTATGGCTTAATGACAACAATATAGCATCATTGGTAGGTCTGGCAGAAGCTGTTGCTGGTGCTAAAGAGAAGCTAACAACCATCTACCTTGAGCGAAATCCCTGTGTAAGTGCTTTTAAACCTTAGCACATCCTTATTGTATAAACTGGCAGCAACTAGTTTTTTGTTCTTTTTTGGGATGTACATTTTCTTGTACTTGAGCTGGTAGTTTCTTCTCGGTATCCTTCGATCTCTCTTCCTCTATTTAAAACTGCTTTGAAGGGTTTTCTTAGTGAAAGTTGTTCTTAAACTAGATCTTCTCCACTCCACCTCGCTAACCCCTGGTGTCATGGAGGGGAGAGACTAGTCCCAATGTGATAGGGAAAATGACTCTTACAATGCCTATACATCACCGCGAAAGCCAATCCATTGAATCTTAAACTTGCTTCATCATTGAATTATCAGTATCCTCTGTTGGTCAATATCCAGATCCTTGTCTTCTGCCTTATACGTCATGCTGAGTGAATTATCTATGTATTTCCTTTGAGGCTTCGGATAATTTATCGATTGGGCTCCACCTCCCTAAAAGTGATGTCAACTTCTAGATTTATCGCATAAACAGGATACTGAAAGATATACAAAGGTTTAAGTAATTAATATCAGCTCATGAACACATCAGGCGTTGGTGATTGCTCTGTGAACTAGAGACGTCCTGGTCGAATAATATAACTAATTTTTTTTCTTTTATAAGTAAAAGATTTTATTAAAAAGTGTACCAAGATGGTACAAGTACGAGTACAAGATGCTACTATGCTACTACAGCATTCCAGTCAAAACATATTACATGTTTCCCCCTAGAAAATTCAGAAAATCTAAGTATTGATCCATCCAATCTAGGGTATTGCTAGAGCACCAGTAAAATAGATTCTTGATACACATTTGTTCTCGACTCTAGCAATGTGTACTCTCTTATCTTCACTTTGTTTCTCTTTAACTAGACAGTCCACAATATGCATACAGGAATAGTCTTCCATATTTCCTTTAGGTTTCTTTCCATTTTCTGAGCTTGCCAAACTTCCAACAAATTGCTAATCTTCTGTGGTATGACCAGAGATACACCCATGATAGTAAGAAAGAGCTCCCAGCATTGTCTTCAGAAATTACAGTGAAGGAATTGATGCTCAACAGTTTCCTTCTCACAATTGCAAAAATAACATCTGCTACACAATGGAAAACCTTGTAGTTTATTCTGTGTAAGACAGACATCTCTAGCTGCTAACCAACCAAAACAAGCTGCTTTTACAGGGGCCTTGGTTTTCCAGAGCATCTTCCAAGGCCAGTTAGGAACCCCCTGACTATTCTGATGTAGTAACATTTTATAGCAATTGTTTACTGGAAATAGTTTATCCCTGCTATTGACCCAAACTAATCTGTCCACTCTATTCATCTCAATTAAGCAGGTGTGCAGTTGCTGAAGCAATTGACAAAAGCTGATTAATTCGCAATCATTTAAATTTCTCCTAAACGTGATTTGCCAACCTAAAGATGGCTTCAAATCTGCAATGTGAGCATCTTTATCCAAAGCACAACTAAACAAATTTGGGAATATGTTTTTAAAACTCTCATCTCCATTCGAAATATCTATCCAAAACTTTATTCTAGCCTCATTGCCAACCTCCAGATTTGTATATTGTAAGAATTCATCCCACCCTTCACTGATTCTCTTCCAAATTCCCCCACATTGTCTCAGTTGAGCAGGATTCTGTGTCCATCCCTCTTTGTCACCATAGATAGCATCTAGCATTTTCTGCCAGACCTCCTCACCCCTCCTACTATACCTCCACAACCATTTAAAAAACAAACTTTTATTGTGTAATTTCAAATTCCTCACAGCCATTCCTAACCAAGGTAAAGTGGAAGCCAAGAAAGCGGCATATTTGGAGCTTTTGGAGAGCGTGGATGAGGAGGGAACAATATAAGGTGGCTAAGAAGGAAGCGAAGTTAGCGGTTACTGCGGCTAAGATTACCGCGTTTAAACGCTTGTATGAAGAACTTGGAGGCAGATGAGGGGATAAAAAGTTGTACAGGCTAGCCAAGCTGCGTGAAAGGAGATGACAAACTTACTTCCATAAACTCCTGAGCGAAGATGGGGATAGGTACATTGTGCTGGGTGACTTAGAACATTCCGAGAGTCGTCGGGACTTTGGGTATTGTAGGCGTATATAAGTTGCGAAGGTAGAGGGGGGCTATGCGTAAGATGAGCAGGGGGAGAGCGACCGGGCCATCCCGGTGGAATTTTGGAAGAGCGTGGGTAAGGCGGGCATAGAGTGTCTCACTGGGTTATTTAATGTCATTTTTAGGACGACGAAGATGCCCGAAGAATGGAGAAGGAGCACGATGATCCCGTTGTATAAGAACAAAGGCGATATCCAAAATTGCAACAAACTATCGGGGTATCAAGTTACTAAGCCACACCATGAAAGTCTGGGAGAGGGTGGTGGAGCTGAGGGTGAGGAGGATTATGTCTATTTCTGAGAACCAATTCGGATTTATGCTGGGACGCTCGACCATGGAAGCTATTCACCTTTTTAGGAGGTTGATGGAGCAATATAGGGAGAGGAAGAGGGATTTACACATGGTGTTCATCGACATAGAGAAGGCTTACGAGAAAGTATCGAGGGAGGTTTTGTGGAGACGTTTGGAGGCTAAAGGTGTCCCTGTTGGACATGTATGATGGAGCTAAGACTCGAGTGAGGACCGTGGGAGGGGACTCGAAACACTTCCCAGTTGTGATGGGGTTGCACAAGGGGTTAGCCCTCAGCCCATTTCTATTTGCCCTGGTGATCGACGCACTGACGCGTCACATTCAAGGGGAGGCGCCGTGGTGCATGTTATTTCCGGATGACATTGTACTAATTGACGAGACGCGAGGTGGTGTTAACGAGAAGTTAGAGGTTTGGAGGCAAACGATGGAGTTTAAATGTTTCAAGTTGAGCAAAACCAAAATAGAATATTTGGAGTGCAAGTTGAATGGTGCGACTCAGGTAGTGGACGAAGACGTGAGGCTTGATTCACAAGTTATCCCTAGGAGAGAGAGTTTCAAGTACCTTGGGTTAGTTATTCAAGGGAATGGGGAGATCAACGAGGATGTCACTCATCGTATTGGGGCGGGATGGATGAAATGGAGGCTCGCTTCTGGTGTTTTGTGTGATAAGAATGTGCGATCAAGACTTAAAGAGAAGTTCTATGGAAGAGTGGTCAGACTATGTTGTATGGGGCAAAGTGTTGGCCAGTCAAGAACTCCCATGTTCAGAAGATGAAAGTGACTGAAATGAGGATGTTGAGATGGATGTGCGGGCATACCAGGTTAGATAGACTTAGAAATGAAGTTATCCGGGACAAGGTAGGCGTGGCCTTTGTGGAGGACAAGATGCGAGAGGCGAAACTTAGATGGTTTGGGCATGTGAATAGGAGAGGCACGGATGCACCAATGAGGAGGAGTGAGAGGTTGGCCTTAGAGGGTCAACGGAGAGGTAGAGGCATGCCGAAGAAGTATTGGGGAGAGGTGATTAGACAAGATATGGCGTTGCTCTAGCTTACTAAGGACATGACCATGGATATGAAGGTGTGGAGGTTGAGAATTAGGGTAGAGGGTTAGGTAGCCGAGCGCTATCATTATTTGTTACAGTAGCTTTAGTACATCACTTAGTGTCTTTCGTGTATTTTCGTATTTTTGGACTTCTGTTATTACTTGTTATTGCCTAAGCTTCGATTGTCTAATTACACTACCTAGTGTTAGTTTTGTGTTTTTGCTTGGTTTTCTGATTGATTTGCTTGTCATTGCCCCTTTCCTTTATCTTTCCGGAGTCGAGGGTCTACCGAAAATAGCCTCCCTGCCTTCTTAAAGGTAGGGATAAGGTCTGCGTACACACTACCCTCCCCAGACCCCACTTGTTTGTTGTTGTTGTTGTTGTTTTGCTCATTGACATCCTGCACAGCCTTGATCCCCTACCTCTTTATGGTTTGGAGGCTGAGTCTCAATCTGGCCATGTCTGCTCCAGTTTCTTTAGTTAGTCACATCCAGGATTTTGTCAACCTATCCGTGCATGGTAGCAAGTATTCTTGATACCTTCAATTCAATAACTAATCTGAGGAAGTTGGTTGGCTGGCACCAGGATTGGATCCTCTATCACCCTGCTGAGCTGGGATGAAGTATCTGCGGCTTTGTCTTTCTTAACCCACGTTCCATCAACTAGGGTGTATCCCATCATAGCAAACGCAGTTTTGTCATATGTGTCATGTGATAGAGATGATTTTGGGAGCAAAAAGGGATAGGTCCACTTGCATAACTTGCAGAATGTGAGAAATTAGTAGACCATAAGGCAGGCTATTTGCAAAGGAAGATGCGTCTCTAATATTTTCAAGCATGCATTGACGTATCCAAACAAACCAACCAATTGTTTTTCCATTCACAAGACAATACAAGACAAACACATCTCTGGTAGACATAGTGCTAAGGGATCCAGTACGAGGGAAAAGGGTGGTAGCAATTATATGAGCCAACACACGATGCTCAAACTTCAGATTTTTAGGACTTATATCAGGGGGTTTTAGATAAAATACCTTTTGCTTCTTCAAGAGACACTTCGAAATCATTAGGCCAAGAATATTGCACAAAATTACTGTACCCGTGAAATTTTGTGGAGAAAATCTTTTCAAATTGATAAGCATCAAGAATAATACGAGTTCCCAACACCATAGACTCCATATCATCTTTGTCATTCACAAACAAATTCGGATAAAACATATACATAGGTTCTTCATAAACAACATCACCAACAGTAGCAAACAGGAATGAGAGCCTTTGAGTTTCAAACACAGAGAACATCACAATGAGAATTTTTCATGTAGTTCAGACTTAGAGTGCGGCCGTACGCAGTGGACTTTCCTTTGTAAGCAATATACCTGGATTTTTCTTCTGGACCATAGAAATTTATCTTGTCCTTGGTCCAAACTCTACGCTTTCGATTTTCTCTTTCTTGTGGGTGGACTGTTTGAGATTGGCTCCATCGGACATTTTCCGGCCCTTTTTAGATTTGTGGGAGTCTCCACAGGAGTATCCTAGC